ACGACACCTGTCCCAGATTGTTCTCCGGTGGATGAATCATCGACATAAAGTATCCATGAGATTTCTTCTTGTAGCTCCTCGATTAGGACGTTGTAGAACTCAGAGACAGAGTCGGCGAGTGTTTGGCCCTTGATGGAGGAACGTGGCGTGTATTTGATATCGAATTGTTCGAGCTCGATTGCCCATTTTACCATCCGACCTGAAGTGTCGGGTTTTTGTAGTGTTTGCCTTAATGGAGAGTTGGTAAGGACCTCAATGGGGTGTTCCAAAAAATATGACCTTAGTTTTCGCGCGGTCATCAGCAGGGTGAATGTCAGTTTCTCTATAGGTGAATATCTGAGCTCGACTTCGTGAAGTGCCTTGCTTACGTAATAGATTGGGTGTTGAACACCGTTCTCTTCTCGGGTTAGAACCGCACTAATGGTATGTTCTGAAACGGATAAATAAAGTTTCAGGACCTCGTCGGCCTTAGGTTTTGAAAGCAACGGAGGCTGAGCTAGTTGTCTCTTTAGCTTTTAAAGGCGTCCTGGCATTCTTTGGTCCATTCGAACTTCGTTCCTCCTCGTAACGTGTCAAAGAAGGGTTTGCAACGGTCCGTAGACTTGGAGACGAACCAGCTGAGGGCAGCAATCCTTCCGGTTAAACTTTGTATCTCTCTAGGTTTAGTTGGAGGGCTCATTTGGATGACAGCTTGTATTTTTTCAGGATTTGCCTTGATTCCTCGGTTGTTCACAATGTAACCTAGGAATCTTCCAGAGCTGACCACGAAAACACATTTCTTTGGGTTCAACTTCACTCCATACTTCCTCAGTATATCAAACATCTCGGCCAGGTGCTGACAGCGATCCTTAGCCTTGATGCTTTTAACCAGCATATTGTCAACATACACTTCCATTGTTTTTCCGATCTGTTGGGAAAACATGGAGTTCACTAGTCGTTGGTAGGTCGAACCAGTGTTTTTGAAACCAAATGGCATTACTATGTAGCGGTAAAGACCTCGGTCAGTTACAAACGAGGTATGTTCTTGATCTGGGCCGTACATCGATACCTAGTTATATTCGAAATATGTGTCATGAAGCTGAGTAGTTCGTGTCCGATAGTGGCGTCCACCATTTAATTTATTCTTGGTAAAGGAAAACTGTCTTTTGGTCATGCTTTGTTGAGGTCGGTGAAGTCTATGTAAACCCTCCAATCTTCGTTGTGTTTTTTCACAAGGACCAGATTTGCGACCCACTTCGAGTATTTGGCCTCACGGAGGAAACTATTATGCAACCGTTTTTGCACCTCCTTGTTGGGTGCTTTATATTTTTCAGGGTTCAGAGGTCGTCATTTTTGCTGCTTTGGCCGAATTGGATGATCCACCTGTAATTTGTGGCATGCGATGTTGGGGTCTATTCCTCTCATGTCCTCATAATTCTAGGCAAAGACATCAATGTTTTATCTAAGGAAGGCCACAATTTCATTTCGGGTGGATAGTTGTAGCTCGTGCCCGACTTTGAGCTCCTTTGTTGGGTCCTTGGCACAGACTTGAACTCCTTCTAGTTCTTCGGTGGGTTCTCCTCCTTCGATCCTGGTTCGCAAGTCTAGTGGAATGAGCTCGGATTCCCATACATTTTCCTTATGCACTCTTGGGGAGTCGCGTTGATGGCTGGTACAAGTTTCCCTCATGGCTGTAGTTTGAGGGTCCTGCCATTGTGAAGAACTTGGTGGTGTATTGGATTTATGGAACTTGAACTACGACTCATGGCTCTCCGATTTTGTGGAGAGAATGAGACTATTTTTTACAATTAGGACCCTCCTTCTAGTGCCAAACTGTTGACGTTCAAATTAGTAAGGCTAATCTTAAACCAACTTTAAGAAAAAATGGTGATTTATTGTTGAAAAAAGACCACAAAATATGTTTAGAGAGTGTAATTATGCCTTGAGTTGTTTTATGAAATCACTTGCCCTTTTTAAGAGTCCTATTCAATTATTTATACATAGTTTCAGCCGACATTACATCAAATTAGCAACAGTATCGAGCTCAGAACTCGGGTCGTCAGATTCTCTTCTGATTGGTCGATGAGGCCGGTGGCCACGTGTCAATGTTTTCCCCAGGTAATGATGAATTGCAAGGGGCTGGAGGTTGAGGACTTAGGATTGGTTGTGTCGGGCGGTGATGATGTCACCTGTGACAAGTGTATTTGATTGATAGGGTGATGTGATATGGGGTAATCATAATATTTTTCTGAGATAACAACAGGATTGTCCGACCTGAGAGTAAGGATAGAACTCACATTTAATTGAGGTGGGGTTAGCGAACTGTTTTTATTAGATCAGAGTTCGAATGTCAACAATACTCATTAACCACAATCACTCCATCAAACACGTCCCAAATCATCCGCTTAACTTGCCAAAAGAAAATCCCAATCACAGTCTTTCTATTTACTAAAAAAATCATAACATCACCCATCATCTTGAATCGTCAGAAGGAATCTATCAAATTTATAGCTTTATTCATATCAAAATCTTAGTATTCTGGTATGAAATCTTGCCAAGAAATTAACATCCATACTTCAATCAAAGGGGTTCTAGATTTGTATCCCATTCGTGTAATTCGTAATAGAGGTGAAGACACTTGGCATCCAATTGGTATGAGCAGTCCAAAAGTTCTTGATTTTCATGTTATGAAGATATTCACTAGTCCATTATTGCAATAAGACAAAAGGTAGAAGATATATCACAAATGGAATAGAACATAGGTATATAAATCCAACTAGATATGTCATAAATTGAATAAAAACACAATCTCATATATGAATTCGTGAGTGTTGGGGTTACAAGAGTTGGTAATTATAAAAAAACAACAATCTTTACTATATTTTTAATCACGTGTAAACCAATACAACACGTCAACATAGTGAATAAGTGGTGAAATTCTAAATTTTTCAATTGATGAATAGCATAAGTTATTCAGAGATGGATATTATCAACTATATTACATATATGTTAACCTTTATTAATATATATGTTAACCTTCATTCATTTGTATAAGTGGGATGGTCATATAAATTCAACTCATATTTTCGGGTGCAACAGAATGAAAAAGTTATAGACATTAAAGAATTCATATGCTCTTGTTAGTTCAATTTCAACTGGTGATATAAGTTTGTATAATTAAAATTTTTAGTAAATGGATTTTGGAGAAAATGAAACTCATGATATTAGGAAAAATCTGCATTCAATACCAAATTGCCCAATAAATTGGGTTTAAAAAAAAAATAAAGTGAATTATTTTGTGTTGCATTAGTTAGGATATATTAGAAATTGATAAAATTACACGCAATCTATATAGAAGAAAAGTATTGAAATATAATTCTGATGAATCAAATTTTGGATTGCACAACAGCAAAGACCTTACTACAACTTCTCTTCAAACAATTGGCGATTATGAGTAATTCCAATTGTAATGTTAATTGCTATGTAATAATCATTTTCTGTTTGAATTTAAATCTACACGTATTTAGCATATGGAGTTTATATCACCATTTTCTTTGCCTCTTGAAATTTCCAGTTATGGTTCCAAAAGGAAAATGTCATAGATAGTAACATAGAAATTTTAATGGGATTATGCAGCAAAATTGGTTAATAAAACAATTGAATAGTATAAAATGAAATAATATGTATGCATTTACGATTTTATCCCCTAGTATTCTATCCAGGTATTAGACCTAACAGTTGGTTAAGGCCCAATCTCTCTAATTTGGATGTTCAATCCTTAATTACCAAATCGTAATAGCAAAAGATAGTAAAATGGTATATTTGATAATAAATGAATGTCCAGTGAAGTTACCAACAACAAAATGTGTATTAAGAGCATATTCAAAAGATTCTTTAAATATAAAATACCGTCTGTTTTAGATAGCCAATGCTTAAAAATGAGATTCAAGAGATTCTTTATTTTAACTTTTTAAAGTAAAGAGTATGTTTGATTCTCCAATTTTAGAAAGGCAAACCCACTCTCTATTCTTAATGTATAATGATTACATTTAATACATTACAAATTTCAATACTCTACAATATAAAATTTTCAATTTACATTTGAATTGATTTGTCATTAATATATAAAAAATTATATTTACATAAAATATGGAGAAATTATTAAATATTCATTGGAAAAAACAAAATCAAAATCAAAATAGAGAGTTTGTTGGAATGTATAAAAAAATTACTTTCTAAATTTAAAGATACTCCCTATTATGCATAAATTGCTCTTTATAAATAGAAAGTCCTTCGAAGATGCTCTAAGTGTATTCTATATTCAAACTACATTTGCCAAATGTGTTTTTTTTTTTTTTTAATATCATGATTAAAAATATATATTTTGAAAAAATTGATATTGTTAACCTCCTCGTGCTTGCTGTATTGTGTCCTTAAACATTCATTTCTTTGTTTTTACAAAAGATTCAAATACAAGCTTCCCATTTGTTCTTGAGGTGATGGTATGTGGCTACTAGGATCAAGCGTGAAGCGTCTGCATTTAATTTTTAGGTGGCTTCTGTTCTACCAATTAATCTTCCAATTTATAAATATAGGTTATGGTTAAGTCAATTTTTCCTGTAAGAAAAATCTTGGTATTTTCAATTTGTTCCATCGAGCAATCAGTACAGTCTAAAAAGGGAAAGATCTAACCTAAGATAATCCGACAAAGCTTATAGCATTCACAAAGACTAAGGCTTCAAGAATTAATGGTTAATTTGTATGTCAATCTGAATCATATATTTTGTTTTCTAATTTGTTGTGTCACCTAATAAATCCAGACAAAAATTTCAAAGATGGAACCAAACCCAAGGTACCGCCCATCTCTTGCAGAATTTTTAATTCAATTCAACGCGACAATCATCGGGAATCAAATTTCAAAGCGCGCACACAGAGATAAATACACGTTGATTCATATAATATCCAAGAAGTGTAAACTCAGAGAGTAAAAAAAAAAAAAAAAATGCTTTGATTACGAGCATGCAGAGGAGAATGTCGAAGCATTTTTAAACCTTCAAAGCACAGATTCACTGTCTAGAGCTACGTGCATTGTAGATATAATAGCTTAAACTTTCAGATCACAAGATTTGAATAATTTTTTGAATTTTATGTTCATGCATGCTAAACCTAGCCAAGGCTCCAATATTATTGTAACATTTTCTATTCAGACAGCCTTCTTTTACAGGGAACTTAATCGCAGATCCAATGTTGGATGATCCATTTGTGTCCCAATATTGTATGGATTCTCTTTGCAGTAATCATTTGAAAACAATCTACGCTTCTCCGACTCCATCGGCTCTGTGAATGAGTTGAGTGGAAATAGTTGCAAAGTCTCGAGTACTATTTCAGGCTCAGAAACCTGATTTAACTCTGCAAGATCTGTCATTGAAGAAACAGAAAGAAAATATTACTTAGGTTGCCTTTCAATTTAAAATTTTCATTTTATTTTTCTTAGTCGAAGAAATGTTAAAATTTCCACCATTCTCTTGCGTTATCATATCTATATAACAGCGAATCAGTTATTACATAATTATTAACCATTTGTGACTTTGTAAAATAGTTACATTATGTAAAGATTCAACCCATAATATATACATTATACATTTTTTTCCCTTTCAAGCACTAAGAAAAAGGACTTCACGAGAAAGGAAAAAATACGAAAACATACAACATTTTTTTCTTTTTGTTGAGGGTAAAGAGTTTCCGTTAACAAGGTTCTAAAACTTTTAATAACATGAAAGTAATTTGTAGATATTAATTAAACTGAGATGTTATACAAATATTAAATTATTTGAAACATCAATGAATACAAAGAACAAATAAGAAAAGAAAATTCAGTATCTTTTTCTTTTTGTGAAGGATAAGGGGATTTCCGTCAACAATCTCGACAATATTAAAAGAAAAAAGGCTAATTATTAGAAGTGTAAAGATTTAACACTGCATACCAAAATGTTATATACTATTAGTCGAGTGTTCACGAAGAATTTGACTTACATTTTGTTGATGGAAGCTTGTCTTGGTGGTGGAATTCATTAGGTTCATCGACCAAAAATCTGCGACGTTTCTGTCTTTCCCTAGCTTTATGGTTCTGAAACCAATAAAAAACATTTTTGCTCTCGATCTTACCATAAAAGCTCAATTGAGAAGAAATCTTTTGGATCTGGTCAGTACTAGGAGTTCGGAGCCCAGACCTGAACAGGTCTGTAAGAACTTTAACCTGTTCAGTTGTTGGATTCCACCTTCCACACTTGGTTCCCGTGCCGCCACTGCCACCATTATTGCCGCCACCGTAGCCACTGCGTTGCTTAATACAAAAGCCTGATACTTCATCCATCACTCAAATTCTGTCAATATAAAGATTCTGGAAGTTTGATCTTTCAGTTCTAATCAGTTTCTAAACTCAAAAGGAAGAGAGTTCACCTATATATAATAGTACAAATGAAGAACTTTAATATTGTTATGTTTGTATTATTATCCTTTGTCGTACATTAAGCCTCGTTTGGTGGGGACTAAAATCAAATTTTCAATAAATTTTGATAAAAGTTAATGAAATGCGTGATTGTAAAATTGTGGATCCATAAAATGTGTGGTTAAATTAATTGTTTATTTTGATTTAGATTAAAATGATTTTAATCAATATCAAATAAGGTGTAAATGTATCTCAACTTTTACCGATAAAACTTTAAGTGAGAAGATATATCTTAGAATATTATATTTCATTTTAAATCTATAGCTATTTCAATACAAAAAAATGTACACATGATGTGAGACTCTTTGATAAAAACATAATTTAGCTTGTATAGAAAAGAATATGTTAAATTTAAATAAATATGTCTTATTTCTGATATCTTAAGTTCTAGAAGCGGTTATTTAACATCTTTTATTATTAATATAATTCACGATTAATGTGGTAATATAAAATTTAAATATATAAATTTGTCCTTTGAAAGAATTTGAGCTCCAATCTCATCACCAACTACATATAAAGTTCTATTGGTGTGTTATGTCTTTAATTAAAAAATATATTTTTTTAAAGCTTTCTAAATAATGAAGTTAAAGAAAGTAAAAAGGAATAGCAGCCCCAGGACATAACTCAGTGGTGCAAAAGACAGAAGTGAGGTAGTCACAACCTTGTTGACAGTCATAGTGTGAGGGTTCGATTCCTGAAATATGGAATTGGACTCTTTGTAAACATCAATGTACGGGCAAGCTCTTGTTCCTTGATTTGTTGGAGCATTTTCGATTTACCTCTCTCATAATATTCCAAAAAAGGGGCAAGACGGGATGAGACGATGGAGCCTTCAGGTTGGGTTCAACCTTTAAGTAAAGAGGAATGGCCCTTTTTTGTTTGTCACAAATGCTTTGATTCTAGAGAAAAAGTAAGAAGGACGATCAGACTTTGAGGATTTGATCACCTAGTTTTTGCTGTAGATAGAGATAAACATGCACAAAAGCTGCCACTATTCAAAGTTTAGGTCTGCGAGCAGACAAAACGGTGAGTTGTCAATAATTACATTAAAAATCTCAAATAAATATTGATTAAGAGCCTGTTTGGGTCCGATTTTTTTATTAAAAAAATTGATTTTTTGATCGTTATTTCACTATTTCAATCGTCATATTTGACTTCCTCTCTCACAAATGGACCCCACTTTTGTCCTAACGATCAAAAAATCAATTCTCAAAATCACTTCCAAACAGGCTCTAAAAAACCACTTGCATTGAAGACATTAGCTATTATATTTTCATATTTTACGTAGCTACGGTTTTTAAGATCATCGGTTTAATCTTTGCACACAAGTTACTCACATAACAATTTTGTTTTACAAAAACATTATTACTTTATATTAATAAAATATTAATATATCCCACAAAAATATTAGCGAACTTACTTAATTTTAAGGCAAAAAGTCATATAATAAAACCGACACCCAAACATTGATTTTTTCTAATTGATATTAACAATTAACAAAACACTACATCAAAATGCAGTCATCATATTTATCAAATGATAGAAGATAATACATTTTGGTTCTTGAACCATTTCATTTCACGTTAATTTGTCAATTCTATTCCAAATACAATACGTTTTATTTATTTTTTCTGTTAAATCAATAAATAATATTTTATTTTAATCATCACTCATCAGTTACAAAATACATATGACTCAATATTATCACACCTACTGGCAAAAATACAGAATGAAATTAAATTGACATATTATAATAAGGCATTCTAAATAGGACAAAGCCTCCAGGACATAAGAGTAATCCAAGTTTGGTTCATAAACTACTATATTATGTGACTTGTACTGGCAAAACAAAGATTTAACTGCCAATGGAAGTCAAAGTTCACATTGTCCGATCCTAGTTGAATGGTTTTACTGATAAACTGTTCGATCAAAGATTGTTGGATTAAACCTACTTTAAGAATTGGGGACAGAAAGAACAGGACGTTGTAGCCACCAAATTGAGATTTGAGAAAGAGAGAGACAACACACAAGAACAACAAGAAAGGGACCAACTTGGCTTTTCTCATGTCCATGGTTCATGTCTTGTCTTTAACCAGTTTGTTTGAATAAATTTCAGCTAATCCAAGAAACGCGTGACAAATTGTTTCTTGATATTTTATGTGCTCTTTAAAAGAAAAAAAAAAGTTGAATACCAACCTTGAGAGCCTCCACCGTCCCACCTCTAGAGCTTTATAAGGGAGGTAAATCGCAGAATGTACCCTAACAGGCCAGAGAATAAGAGATGTTTGTACACTGCACCTACAAGGAGTCCAATTTCATGTCTCAGGAATCGAATCCCTATACTGCGGCTGCCAACAAGGCGTGAGATAACCTTAGTCCTATCCTTTGCACCACTGGACTATTCCCCGGGGGGCATTTTATGTGCTATTATGACATGTTAAGTATGTAGTACAGAGTATTAAGGCCACGTTTGATTTTTATTTTTATCAAAATATATTTTTCTCTCTCTTATTTTTAATCACCATTTTTCATTAAAATAATATTACACGTAAATCAGTTTTTTTTTATCCACATATTATCCATTAATATATTATTCTAAAATTCATTTTTCCATAAAAAGGAATGTCAAACACCCTCTAAATGGTCAAAACAACTATGATTTAATTTGTCACGTTGATACGTTCCCAAATTTTCTTCTTTTTGATTGATTTAATCTAGGTGAAAAAGAGAAATGGAATTGTTTGTTAGTTCTTGCAACTGTAAAAAGACCTTATAAATTAAGATGTTTCACTTAATCCTCTGTTAATTGTTTTCCACCATGTTTAGATAGGCACATGATTTTATAATAATCGAGAAATGGCAAAGCCAATTTATGTTTGCGGTTCCCACAATTCCCAAGAATGTTTGATCTCCATATCCCAAAATATATAAATTAGCTTGTTTGTCAGTTTGCACTTGGCTCTTCACTCGACTGACTTCTCTCCTAGGAATCTCACTTCACTTGACACAACATTTGGCACTTTGTTATTTTCAATTCATCTAAGTACGTACTGTACAGAAGTGAATTTTAATGTCATTACTTGGTACTCTCTCCGTCCTTTATATATGTTGATTTTCCTTATTTTTTTTATCTTAATTATATGATCATATTTTTTATTGAAAATATTTTATTTTGTTCGTTATTAATATATACTTATTTAATATCTATTATAACCAATTATTTAATTTTTTACTATTATCAACAATAGTTTACTACTAGTTGTTGATAATTAAATAAGGGTAAACTAGAAATGCTTTTTGACAAAAATTACTTTTTTAATAATATTAAATAAGATTTCTTAATTCGTGTGAAAAACAAAACAAGGCTATATAAATGCAACGGAAGAAGTATTATAAATTCAATTGATTTTTTTTTAAATTATCATATATCAATTCTATCTTTTTAGTATTGTGTTGTTTGTTTTCATTAGAAACTGCCATATATTTTTAACATATGTATTTAGTACATTAAAAATTTATTAGTTCCTCTTTAAATATAATCAACGAATTTCTCTCTCTCTCTCTCTCTCTCATGTTTTCATAAACCCTACTTACATATGAATGGATATTGATACTAAAAATCGTACATATTGGCTCTTGAGCTTGATAACTGAGAATGAGCACGAACGAGTTTTTTTGATGCCTGAAACAAAGGCAATGAAATATGATCTCATCGTCCATCCGATGCTTAAGTTAGAGAGGGGGAAAAGATATACGCGTAAGACTATAAATTGAATGTAAAAACGTACCTCAACAATGGATTTTGATCATGCATTTGTAGTTGTTGGTGGTAGAGTTGTAAAAGGATCCAATTACATGTAATCCTTCTCTTATCATGAAAAGTGTTTGTGTTCTATTAAAAGTGTTCTATTTGAATTTAAATCGAACCTCGATAGGTAAGCAATGAGGATAAAGGTCATGGGTAATTATAGTTGAAACATGATTAATATTTTCTAGAATGTGTGAGATAAGAATTATGTTCTATAACGTACGGCCCGACCTTAACATAGAGGCCCGACCTTGATGCTTGGGTAAATGTGGGATGACAAAATCGGGTTATTGACTTCGAGCTAAACCACATAAACTCGAGAATATTCTAGTACTAGGAGAGTGCTCGAGGTTATCATGACCTCGAGCATGGGGTCGTGGATGGTTGGGTCATACAAAAATTGTAAACATCATATATATATAGTAAGAATTTGGATTGAAAAAACACATTTACTGTAGAAAATATTGACAATCAACGCACCATTAAAGATAAAATTATAATAAATAAATTTTTATTTATTTTATTTAAGTTTTTATATAATTAAAGTGATTCAACGACACCATAACGTGGTAGGTAATTTTATTTTAATGCTACTCAAGTTAAGACAAAAATTATCGTCCTGAAAATAGGGGGAAAAAATCTTAGTTAAAACCACACCAATTATTTCTTATTTTAGGTCATAAATGATTTTTATAGGAATTTAAAAAAAAAAAAATTCTTAGTTAATCCACATCAATTATTTCTTTTATTGGGATATAAACCATTTTTATAGGAGAAATCAAAAGGTGAAGTGGGTAAATGTGCAAATGTGTTCGGATTTTCCTGTCTAACAATCCTCCAAGTAGATAGTGTTAACTACTTTCTTGAGACAGAAAAAGTGTTTTCTTCCCATCAATCTTAGTTTTAAAACACCCATAAACAGGAAAATGTTTTTCAGTGAGATTCGAGAAGTCTAAATGCACAATGTTTTGTGCAAATAATAATATAAGAATGCATGCGTGAAATCTAGGCCTTCCTAATTTCCGTCTGTTTCTTTCTTGTCTCCACTACCTTTGTCACCACTCACTAATCAAAGTTTTACCAAAACCCCCCATTTTCCCAGCATTTTCATTATTTTTGGGAGAGACAGTGCAACAGTGCCCAATTATAAATTTTCTTGAGGAATTTCAAATTTTATAGCACAAAAAGTGTAAAAAGGAATTGCTGTATCTGTTAGCGAACCTGATATATATGCAAAGACGATGACAGCTTTATGCATAGTCATTAAGCTAACTTCTCAAATCAGATATTCAACTCAAATGCCACTTTATGTTACAGTTGACAATGGTTCTATCCTAGCCCTTCAGAAAAAAATAAAATAACGGATACTAATCACATTGTCGTTAGTGTCTTAGATAATTTTTTCCACAACCGTATTACTTTATCCACAACTTATTTTTATTTTCTTCTCAGATCTCACAAAGTTTCTTTTGCTCTTCATGCCTTTGAGAGTAATTTTGGACTCGTCCATGAGGCTACACGAGAATCACATATGTTTGACGAGGGAGATGAGAAATTAGAGAGAGAAAGTTGAAGAGGAAAAATATCTTTTATATTTAATGAATAATTAACTGTATATTAATGTTCCTTATATATATCATGCTACCAACGTGATACTTCTAACAAACTATAGAAAAATTGAATATACTATTCAAAGATTTATTTAGGTATAGATTTGTTGGGGAATACACCGATTATGTGCATATTATAGTCATAAAAGCATACCGTTTATTTGCATGAAATCGAAACGTAATTTCGACTTACCAAAATAGAATTTAAGAAGCAAAACAATAATAGTTACCGAATCCGAATGCATGAATATGGATTCATTTTTTTCGATTTTTGAACGAAAGCAAGTTATTCTTTGAATCAAAACTCGCAAAACAAACATGTAAATAATATTAATCAGTTTTTGAAATCAAATCATAATTAAAAGAAATCAGAAAATGAAGGAAGAAAGATTCAAGTGACGAATTTTTGGTTGAAGCAAGTGTTTGACACTTGGTTCTTAAGATGAATTTGCCCCGCATCGATACTAATGATTTTTTGACAATCATCTCTCAAGATACAACGGCCATATCAAACCATAGGAGCATTCCAAATAATTTCGACCTACGAACTTGAACGGAATTCCATCTCTACCATAGTAATGACTTTGATGCAAAAGATAATCACTTTTAAAAAGTGTTTTATGTAACTTAACATGAAATGAATAATATGGAATTATGGAATGAATTTGAATGACAAATACACATCCAAGGGATCCTATATATAGAAGATGAAGGGTTGTGGGTGAAGGGACACACCCTAAATCCAGCATTTTTCATGAAAAATTGCAACACTTTATTTCAAAAAGTTGAAACACTTCATTTCAAATTTACATCATTTCGAAAAGTTGCAACACTTCATTCTTCCAACTTTTGACCGCAATTTCTCATTCATCTGGAATTGGTTTCGAGATTTTAGATATACTACGACGATCTACTCGACAAGTAGAATAAGTTGGTCTATTTACTTTTGTAATTTGACCATCGGATCAAATCCGAACATTCGACCGAAGTTGACACGAAGTCACACCTTTTCATTTTCTTAGTTTTAAACTTAACCAATTTTCGGTTAACTTTTGAACCAATTCCACAAGATTTACAAAGTGAAAACAAAATAAAAATCATGTAATCAAAGTGAAAACAAAATAAAAATTTCGCATCTTATAAATGAAATTATGTATTGTAAATAAATTTATTTAGGTATAGACTTACCCAATATTCTAATTTGACTTTAAAATCAATTAGTCAAATAATTATAAGAACGGACAAGGAAAGAATCAAAGAGAAGAAGGAAAGTGTTGGAGTACAAAATTAAGAAAGAACCTGATTATTTTTTTATAAAACTGTTGGAGATTGAGTTATATATTTTATCAAAAAAAGAAAAAAGAAAAAATCGAATGAGAACCGTCTGGTTCTTAAAAATTTGTCCCAAAATCAAACTATTTTTTAGAAGATCAAAAAACTGAACTGTCGAATTCTAAACGGTTCCGGTCCGATTCCATTGATTTTGGGAAAAAGTGTCCACTCCTATGTTTATATGTACAATATAGTACAAGAGTGAACAATAACACAACTCATGAAAAAGGCTTTGAAGCCATAAAATGTTACCAGTTGCGTGTTAGTTTCTGATATTCAGATTCAAATTCAATACTAGATATGACAATTACCTTTATTTTTCTGAAAAACCATTTAAAAAGATTTTCCCCTAGAAGTACACAATAACGAGCAGTCGATCTCCAATTATCCACACAACACTACAAGAAATTTGAGTTTTTGTGACTGCTATAAGCCATTGCAATAAGGGATCTAAATCGAGCAAAATGCCTTTCGAAAAATGGTCTGTCACAGGCCTGGTCCTGTTATGAGGCATATGAGGCCCATGCCTCAGACCCAATAATTTAAAGGGCCTCTGAATTCCACCCCCCTCCCTAAAAATGGAATAACAGATTTCTTGGCATTGGTATCCACTGTCGTTCGGCTCCTTGTCTCCTGCAAATCAAAATCCAAATTATTGAACAACCCTAACCGCCAAACGATGTTACAAGGACAAAAGGCGATCTTCTTACTTCTCTGAGTGCCGTCCGTTGACTGTCCAGCACCGTCCAACCGCCTCTACCTACGTTAATCGGATTTGTGTTGTCGGGTTTGTGGTTTTTGACATTCTGTTCATAGGAATTATGGGGGTTTTCCTTTTTGGTGATTTAATTGATTCTTTGTTGTGGTTTCTGAATTAATTCTTAGTAATGATGATTACATGAACATCAGTGCTAAATAAGACCTTGGAATAGATAATTGGCTTTTGTTTCTCAAAATTTTGTGGAGGAATAAGTAATAAATCATTAGACTTTGAATTTAGATGTGTTTCTTGTTCTCTTGCCTCAGAAGTCAGAATTCCCGATTCTGTATGTGTTATTCAGGACTACATAATAGGAATCTCAAACTAATTTCAAAGACAATTCCTCCGCAAAATTATACAGGAATCAGGAATGATATATCTGTTTGTTGATGTTTCCACAGCCTTGCTACGCTTTTCAACTATTGGAGAAATCACCAAATTCATTTGCTGTTTAACGTTGTTCACTTTGCAACTATTTTTTTCCTCCAGAAACTTAAGATTTTAATAAGCTTGTTCTTTAATGTTGTTAAATTTATCATATGAAAAACTATGATCCCTTCTCATTTAGGCTTTTTATTTTTTTCCCTCTAAATAATGAAGGTCACATTTATTCTTTATTTCTTTTATTATTCTGTTCGATTGGCCCGACATTTTGGTATGAGTTCACCTTTGAAATTTCTTGTCAAATTCAAGTAGAAGCGTGTCAATTACCTTTACATGAATGCTATCTGAAGTGTGAAATTGGATTTTAATTTTCGAACAATGACTTCCGTTAGTTTTTAGAAACTTATTCTCATTGGTTGTTATGGTTGCTGTTAAATTTTAATTTTAGGATTGTGAGTTGCGACGGTGGAATTCTCAAAGTATCGAATTGTCATTTCATAATTTTTGTTCAAGTCATACTTCTCAGGTAAGCAATGACTTGCCCTTGCTTATTTATTAAGAAATATTTGAAACATGGCCGACTTATATTATTTTGGCCTTTTCGGCTTATATGATTACATTGCGGTATTGTACCCTTGTCGGGTTATATTGACTTTTATTAGCTTTTAATTGTAGGACCAATTGCACAGGCGTACATAGTGATTATGTTGAAGATTTTAATTGCGAGATGATTAAAATGTTTTATTATTATCAATTTTAGGTTAATCATTGGACAACATTCTTATACCATGCCTCCTAAATATGAGTCTGGAGCTCAAAAAAAGAAAAAGGAAACGAAATGAGATGACATTAATTCAAAGTCAAGCAGGAAATATTGACAAATATTTAAAAAAAAAATGCGAATGAATTTGCTAAGAGTGAAAAAGTGATTCAACTTGTCAATGTAAATGAAATAGATGAAAATGATGAAGATAATGTTCAACGTAAAAATTTGGAAGACCCTGTAAAACTGCAAGGCAAATAGTATTTAGTTGATCTTTTGGAACGTTGCCTACTCTGTTAGTAGATTATAATAAAAAATTTATAACACTTTTTTTTTTGTTTACTGTTACATTTTAAGTTAACAATTGGTTCCATGATATGCTTATAAATTTTGCGTGTATAGTACAATTTTGAGGGCCTAATTTATGAAATTTGCCTCAAGCCTCTAAAATCGCAGGACCGGCACTACTGTCACAAATGTAGTCTTTGCAAATACATTTGCAGTTGCATGGGACGTCACAAAAATTATTTACTACGATTTTCAGACAGCTCAATTGCAAATGCAAATAATAGATGTTATATTTAAAATTATTTATGACTACATTGTCATTGCAAATAACAAATTTTATGACGGAGTCTTACCGTTATAACAAAAAGTCAGTTTATTAATATGTTTCTTGGTATTATGCCTGTTGTAACTAAAAAAATTTTGAAAATTATTATCCACAAACAACTTTCTTCACAAATAATTTTTTGTATATTTATTTGTTTTCAGTTTTATCCCCATTAAAATTTAAAACTCAACATGAGGAATCATGAAACCGAAGTACAAATTTAAAAGAATGACAACTATATTGATTCAATTTTTTTTTTTTTTTTACTAATTAATAAATTAGGTAATGTAGCTAAACAAACTCCATAAATGACAAAAATCAAAGTAACTATTCAAAAGTGTTATCAACTTGTATAATATTGTCTTTCCTCACAAGATAAACACTATTGACGGAAAATAAATAAAACTCAAAAGTCCATCTCCTTGATTATTGTCCAACTTTCTCATAGAAGCTTGAAAAATAACACGAACTCCCATTAGTTAAATCGAGTAGCAATATTGTTGAATCAACACAACAAAAAACTAAGATCTTAGTCAAATGCCATAACAAAGTTGAGAAACACAATTAAGTGATAACATGATGAGCGAATGGCATAAAGAAATAAAAAATAAAAAATGAATTACTTAAATATTTACATACTAATAATGTTGGTTACAAATGTCATGAATCGGCTATGAAGTTCCCATTCTAAAAAATGTTTTTAAGTAGGTTACATGGAGACAAAATATATGATAGAATCAATGCCATGATCGTAAAAAATTAAATTTGATAGTTACTTCTTCCAACATAAATATTGGATCATAAAAGATACCATGTAATGGTATAGCTTGTCGGCCCTCGTCGACCGTCACAAATAATTGTCGCAAATGTCCAATTTTCTTGTAGTGTGATTGAATTGTCCAATCTGCATTTGAATAAGCTTGTAGTGGCAAAGCTACACCAAGCTTGATAGGAAGCCCAAGTGTAAGCTTGCAGAAGCAAAGCCACACCAAGCTTGATAAGAAGCCCAAGTGTAACGGTGTTCTTAAGATATCAAAGAATCCTTACAAGCTTGCTAGTGAAAACAGAAAGAGCATGCAAGAACTGACTCAATTTATTCATAGCGAGAGCAATATCAGGCCATGTCATGGTAGGCTCTCAAGTGTTCCAATGATAGATTAATTTGTGCAATGTAGGGGACTCAAACTTTTACTATGCGAGGCTTAGCTAGAAGATCATGTAGAACTCTGTATATTTTTATGCATTTATAAGGTCATATTTTAAGATTAATGTCATTGGTACACCATGATTTATGGATTGATGATGTGGATTATATTAACGGACTTTTGCCCCACTTCTTTTTCTTTACCAGTTTTTTTTCTCTTTTTATATCTTTCATGTCATCATTCTTTACATCAATATGCAACTACGACATGCAAATAATACTACTCATATTTCAAATATGATGATTTAACGTTATGAACCATTCAATAGGCAACCCTTACGCTTGGCTCATGTAGGAAATGAAACGCTAATGATAGTTCGACTTAAGTTTATCACATGCTTTGAAAAAGAAAATAGTTTCGGTTGCATTTTTCAAGGAAAAATTGCAACTAAGGTTCCAAACCTTTACATCTGTTACAAACTACACTTTAACCTTTTATTTTTATGATCGCAGTCCCAAATCTTTCAATTTGACTGCTGCTGAAGTCCATTGGACAGAATTCATTCTTCAATCCGTTAGTTAACCCATAAATTAATACTTTAACTCAATTTGACAAATTAAGTAAAGGGTAAACTAGTAAATTAACATTTTCTATAATATAACAATTCAAATAATTATATCAAAAAAGAATAAAAGAAAAAGAACTTCATCTTCTCCAAATACCGGACCTCGAACCCAGAACCAGTCACTTCCGACATCACCACCAATCCACACGTCGTCGTACCGCCCAACCATCACCGCCTCCGCTACCTAATATTATCGCACGGTACCAACCGCCGCCGCCAGAAACCAAAAACAAATTAACTTTATCTTTGGGATTCACTACTGATCCACTGCAACTAGATATCGAATTCAAACCACAAGATCCATTAGCTCAGGAAAAAATAAGGAAAAATCATCATAACCCCTTTGTATTCAATAGGTCAATCTCCTCGAAGGGAAATTAACTGAATAGATGGTGATAAATGTCATTTTGAGCCCCATTTTTGGGAAGTGATAAATTTCGAGCGCTTGCAATTACCAAACAAAGATTGTTGTTGGTTTATGTGTGCAACGTAGGGAAGAATTTTTCTGGTTCTTCTTCTATGTCTATTTTCTGGGATTCCAAGTAAAGGGTTTTTTGCGCTCCCGGGGCACATCCAAGTTGGCGGAACAATCACATTGGGGGGTTCTGGAACCAAGCGTGGGGAGTTCGATTTCTGGTGGGAACCTTTGATCCAATAAAGGAGGAATTATTGGTGGATTAATCACTATGGAGGAGGCTCCCTTTGGGGAAGGAGTAAAAGCCGTGTGAGAACCTGGGAACCAATAAGGGCACATCTCGCGATTTACCTCCCTGAGCTGCTGAGGGGCCGGAGATTCAGGGACGAGGATATAGTCTGGCGCAAGCTGGGAAACCTCGTTAAAAAAAAAAAAAAATGTAAAGGGTTTTTTGCTTCTAAAAAATGAAGAATTCATTCGGTAAATAGAGGGGGCAACCACCCTTGAAGAAATTCCCAATCTTTTTGAACTCCAATTCTTTGATTCTAAACTAACGGTGATTTGTTGATGAAGTAGAAGCCTAAATTTATACTGCCCCGCATTTCCTTTTTTGTTCATTATCAGAGCTCTTCCATGGTTGTAGCTATTTTCACAGTGGTGACCGTTTCTGAAATGCTGAAAAATAATCTTTGCAATTACAGTTGTGAATATATGGGTCGGTGGGTGGTTGCGGTAGTGCATTGTTGGCGACGACGAGACAAATGTGAGTGGGTTTCCTGATTTTTGGTTTGGTTTGGACTTTTCTATTTATACACTGATTTTTGACATTTTGGTTGACATTTACATTGTCAAGTGTCAACTGAATGAAAAATCTGTTTGAAATTGAAGCTGTTGAATAGGATAATGCCACGTGACAAAGTGTAAATCAAAATTTACACCATAATGTACGTGTAGCAAGATTCGCAATTAGGATTGGGTGGGGATGGGAAGGTTTAGCGAAGATGAAGAGTCCTCTCTCCCTCTCATTTTTTGATATAATTATTTTAATTGTTTCATTATAAAAATTGTAAATATACCATTTCCTCCTTCATTTAATTTGTCAGTGCGAGTCAAAATTTCAACTTCAGTGAAGACTATTGAAATTATGGACGGAATCTGTTATACAGACTTCGGCTGCCATTATAGTGAAATATTTGGGATTGCGGTCATAAAAATGAATGGTTAAGACGTATTCTACAATAAAATAAAATGTTTGAAATCTCCACTACCATTTCCCCATTTTTCAATGAGTAATGTGTTGTTTTTTTTATAAGAGTGTGTTTGATTGACATGAAAAATATCACCTAAAAAAGAAAATATTTTTCATCTTTTGTGGAAAACAAAAATCACATCTACCCAAGGAAAATATTTTCCTTAAAAACAAGGAAAATTAGGCATATTTTCAAAAGTTAAAAAATGTTTTCCATGGAAAAAAATAGCAATCAAACACTTCAAATAGAAATTTGGATGGAAAATTGATATTTTTCATGAAAAATAAATGTAATCAAACACACTCCAACAGTAAAAGGTATGATGGTTCACCTGAGGAACTTGAGTTCAAGCCACCAAGCATGCCCTTTTTTTTGTAAATAATATTAGATTAAATTATTTTAAGAAGACATTACTAAATTGAATGTTTTTCAAAGGCTGGTCCTATAAGAAAATTTTATTTTATGTGTAATAATTTTTACAGGAATTGATTGCAATTTTGGAAGTTTAAGAGACCAAATTGCAAGTTTAGTTTTATGTAAAGTGAAGGGTAGTAATAAGTCCTTATTTAGGGATTTATTCTTGCAATTACCTTATATTTTTTAGTCCTCAAAGTTCCGGGACAAGTACTGAAACTTTGGAAGTAGGCGTGTGTATTCTATATATATATAATTAATTAATTATCAAATTTGACTTGAGATTTTAATTGAATTTTAATTCAAACCAAATAGTCCCTATATATGCAACGGATATTAAAATATAGACACATAAATATATGTTCAAAACAGCCATTGGATGGATTTTTTAGGGAAATGATTCACCAAAATTTTCATTTACCCTTTCTAATGGTCCTTTAAGAGATTCTTAAACCACAATCATAAGTTCTCTTTGTTGGGCTATCGTCCAATATATATTTTGACATTATGTTTTGAACAAATAAATATCGATTTTGGTTCAATTATGAAAAAATGAGCTAATAAATATATAATTTTTGAGCAAATAAATGTACCTTGATCACTGACATTTGTTATAAATTGAGCAATTAGGTTGTTAAGTACAAAAAGAATCAATTTATGAAAGAATCAAAATTAGTTGTCCACAACCAGCAAATAAAGTTGAATACTTTATTTTGATAAGATTGTATTATCTTTATTAAATTTTATCTAGACTTTAGTAATAAATATAATAATAATAATAAATATTATTGGATACGACTTAACAATATTTAACATTGTGATCATCATACATAATTAAATATTACTGACAGTGAAACGTACATCTAAATTTGA